TATCGGCGACTAAAACCATGCTAAATATTAAAGCTCTGAACTTACTTTCCATCGGAGTTCGTAAATTGGCTTTGTAGGCTAAAAATATGGAACGCCCTTTTGACATCTCCGTTAGTTATGAACCGAATTGCATGAAATTCAAAATGAGCATTCCTTTAGCCGTATAATCCACAATGCCAAGAGAAAGACGCTTCGTTCTGTCGTGGCTGGCGTTTATCTGGTCTGATTGATACTGGCGATTTATTTGAAAATTCATGACGAAGGAGTTTGTTTTATTGCCAATTTCATAAGAAATATGCAACATTTGTTGCTGGATGGTTATTGCAAACTTCATATGAGTAAAGTACAGGTCGGGGAACTCTGTGAAAAATAGAAACTAAGGAAAAACTCGAGGAAAAACCGGAAACACGAATTTTTTTCGGACTTTTTCTAACAGTAACCCCTAATAAGGCACACGGAAATACGCCTTCCGTTGTCTTGATTTTTGATTGTTCACTTTGTATGGTATCAAGCTCAATGTGAGTATTTTCCGTATGTTTTACGATAATAATTGCGCCTCATTGACCATTGTCTCTAAATACCGTCAAGAAATAATTTTGCGCCGATCAACTTCCAAGTCATTGATTTTTTAAAGGTTCAAAGCTCACTTTGACGTATGTATTTTATGCTTGGACAATGAATTCGCTAGTCAGTTCCAACTAATATAAAACGCCACAGATTGATCTTGGTTACTGTGAAAAATGGGCCCACAAACATAATTTCACTTTTAGGGAAGCTTAAACGTGTCTTATCTCCTTGAATCTCCCATTAATTTCCAGAACAAATTTAATTTCATTCGTATCTTGATATACGAATGACGTTTTTACGCTCATTTCTCCAGAGATAAAGCGATATTTTTTAAACTGTCTCTAACAGGGTATGATGATGCATAGCTTCACCCTGCGCCCCCCTATGTTACATATTACACAGTGACTCATACCGTCGAGACGCTGCACCCCATCCATTTACCACTTCACCCTCTGCGGAGGGGACTTCGTTAACGTAGCTGCACGGAAGTATTTAATCAACTGTCGATAATTGTTTACTTTCAACCCGCGGATAAAAATTGAACGGAACAAAGTGAATGAAATTTTTCGTTGTTGATCCGAACAGCTGAAAAATGTTAATTGTCAATTGTGTCAATTAGCTTGTAAAGCGATCTTAGACCGACACGATTTATTTATATACGCAAACAAATGGAAAAGATAAAGGATTATTTTCATTTCAATGTTAGAAAGACTTGGGTCGATGCCTTCTTCTACACGTTGGCGACTTCTAGTCGAGGTTTGTCACAGAAATAGAATTCATTTTTAATCCTTTCGCATACGCTTTTTACTGTTTTAATTACCCAGGCCGGGACATTTTTTATCGCGGGTTTTTTGCATAACTCCAAAGACAAACAATCTAATCCGGTTCTGACAAGAGTGAGCCGCCATAATTGATCGCAAATATCCAGCTGTTTGTCATACTCTCAAGATTCGATCCAGTACGGGGAAAATTCAGGGATTACGTCGAAAAGTGCTCATTTATAGTGCTTCGTGATGAAATTGAACGAAATTTGTTTTCCACGAATATAATTAGGTAATGGCAATTAATTTTCCTTTATACTTTATATGTAAATTTTTTGAATTCCGTGAGGGCCTGTTTGTATTACACGAACTGCCTAATTCCAACGAATTTTACTCATTTTAATTACCTCGAATTGTCAAAATTCCTACGTATTTCGTTTTAGTTGTTCGCGATATTTAACCTCAGCACTGTCGACAACTAAGGGCGGTGTCACTCCCTTAGGGACGATAGTTTAGTGATCGCAAAGATCTCGATTAAACTAAATGAGTGCTCAAATAAACCGATCAGCTGGGTCTTATAGACAAAATTCATATAAGTAGATTCCTTGTGAAAAGATTCTATTTAATTTGTGAATAAATGAAAATTTTGCTCACTTAACTTCGAATTTAATCAAAAAGAGATAATATAAAATTTAGTACTTTCTCATGAAGTCGAGTATGAAGTCAAAGTGTCCTGCCGTTTTTCGCCGTTTTTGCTCTTCTACTCAATTTAATCAAGGAAACACATCGTGTAATCTAGCCAATCGCGAAGCTCGAAAAGCGACAGAAAATGTAACATGAGTTTTTTACAGAAGAATTTCTTTCGAATTTTTTTAATGACGAGTTTCTACCGTCTGCTATTTTTATTGATTGGTCCTCGGATTGGTCTTAGTTACTATGGATATAATAAACAAAACAAAATATTCCTGAATCCATGGCCTACTATTTAAAAACCGTAAAAAATAAGGTTTTTACTATGGCAAAAAATTACAAAAAAATATAGGTCGTGATACATCAATGTAATCAGGAAAAATAAAATGACATTAACATATTACGGGATGTTGCATTTAAAAAACATCAACGCCACTGAATTCTACGTAAAAAAATGGGTAGTAGAATATGACAACATCCCAAACGTCAAACTTTTCATTTGCACCCTGTATCTCAGAAACAAACCTAGCTAGATTGATTCTGTTTGTGGTATTGGTTCACAAAAAAGTGGCACAGGATCGCGTAAAGCAGAAGTCTCCATCTTTAAAAACAGCTGAGATACACTGCAGTTTCAACCAAAATAGGGCACAAGGTACATACATTTTTTTTAGAAAAATGGCAAGAAAGAATTATTTGAGTCTACTAAACGAAAGAGATACGTGAGATGCCCAGAAAAATTTTGTGATGCGGCACGGTACCTAAGAAAATTTAATTTGAAGTCGATTTAATAAAGGGGTAAAATTATGATTCTGTGCCTCAAAAGTGTTTCTCTCGGTACTTTGAACTCGATGACATTCGCAGTATCAGATAAACTGAAATTTTATTCATGTGGCTTTTTTAATTTTGCCACTCACCTTGGGAGCGATGTTCAAGGCGAACTCTTCCAATAAAAATCACAACTTCAGTTACAATAAATAAATTTCGCAGATCAGTGCCATACAACACTTATTTATAAAGGGAAGTGCCATCAATCATCATCTTAAAGGATCGGATCTAACGTTTCAGTAGCTTGCACCCTTTACAACAGTTGCCATGTCCATCAGAAATAATTGCGTACTTTTGCAAATAATCGAATTTCCATTTTAAATGAGTTGGAAAATTGACACAACGGTTTGATTATGCAAAAGTTAAAATTTACCAATTATTATTGCATTCGTGCTACTGTAAATCGATGGCCGGCTTGCAGGCTGTCGCTTTATGATAAATTAATGATCAATCAATGCCGTGCTTAAAATAGACACATTGTTGCTGTTGTGCAAAAAATAAACGTACGCCACTGGCCATAACGGAACAGCCATTGTACTTACCTTATATAGTAAGAAAAGAACAATGGTGTTTCAAGGGGAGCTGTAATAAACTTCCACCATAAATTTATATTATACAAGTTAGTTAAATGTCATGTGCAACGTGCACTCATAATTCACCCCCCGTTCCCATTAGTATTTTCTTTATTTTACGTAATATAATCTAATTGGATGTGCAAACTTTTTGGCTAAAGTTTCCCGTTTACTTGACAGGCACTTTCAAGTTTCATTTTACGAGCAACGCTTGTTCACTTTTATTGGGTCAGCATGAGTGAGTAGTTGAGCGACAATTCTGGGTTAGGTCAACAAAGTTTTCAATTAGTAGTTATTGTATTTGAACCTCCATCTTGTTCACGTCGAGGAAGTAGGTGAACGTACTCGAAATGAATGTCAAAGAAAGAATGAATTTTGTTACGAAATGAAGGGGTAGCTGTTTGCATACGCACGAAGATGCGACTGCACAAATGCGGCCAATATTTCGAAAGCTCACCCCAAGTTTGCCGTCTTCCTAATGGAGTTTTCTTGTTTCGTATTGCGGCGATTAATTAATCAGTTTGAGGTTTGACCTGTTTGCCGATGTTTCTGGACAAAATTGTGTCGCTTTGGTTTTTTAATATCCTACCGTACTTCGGTTGTAAGAATGAGGAATATCATCAATCAGATATTTGCCTTAGGTATATTACCGTTTTGTGGAATACTCTTCTAAGAGATATTAAAAATGCTTGAATACGTCAAAAAGCACCTTCAAGATTTTAAATTACCCCGGAGCTAATATGATTCTACACCTAATAGCTCATTGAGTTCTGCTGATTTGGGGTGTAATCAAAGAATGTGGTTGATATCAAAATAAACTTTAAAATAATTAATAAACTACCTCGTTATCTCATTAAAACTTTCCAATGCCACAGTCCCCACCCCTCAGAGATAAAGTTTAATAACTTTAAAGTGAGGGTCGGTTTAGTCTACACGTTTAAGTTTTCTCGAGAGTTTTCTCCTTCCCGAGTCAAAAGCCTTTTTTTCTTTCCTGAAATCATTCATGTTTTGAGTTGGCAACCATTTTTCGTGATTCTGTCGTAATACTAGTTTAGTGTGTCAATTGCAAGGCTATATTGCATCACCAAGTGCAAAGCTCTAATAAAGTGGTACGAGACGTAGAGGGTGTACCAAATTAGAATGCCAAAGAAATTGGGTGACAGCGAGCCATTTTTTTTTTCAATTAAACTAGAGTCGAAAATTTTGGTCTTTTGTTAGGTACTTTAGAAAAACCTCAAAATTTGCGTGTTCCTCTTATTTTTCTGAGATTTTTGGGTGTTTGAGGGCGAGAGTATTCTGATTTAGACGAATTGTTTTTTGTATGAAGCTTGAATTAAAGTTTGTGTTTGAAAATTGGAAGAAAAGCCACAGAAATGGTCTGAATTCAGGAGTTAATTGAATGAAAGAATAAAGTAGTTCTCTTATGAAATGTCCAATTTTTGAAAAAAGTATTGAAAGTAGATATTTGTTCCTATACGGATTACATACAGAGTAACTGAGGTAGAACCGAAGGTAGAACACACCATAGGTAAACCTCAATGTATTTTTTTCGCGAAGGATCCACGAGCAGAGCTGGGCAGAAAAAAGTTAATCCGTTAATCGTTAATTAACGAAGTTAACATATTGATTAACTAATTAACTTTTAAGTTAATCGCAAAAACTGTTAACGGTCTTATTAACTTCCGTTAAATTTAACTTCCGTTAACAAGTCCGTTACTCGGATAAGTTAAAGCGGGCGCGCGCCGTGCCATATGCACGGCACTGGATTTGCATTTGCATTGTGTTGGTGTTGGCAACAGTGTATGCAATGAACAAAAATTTGTTCATTGGTAAACAGTGAAAACCTAACCTTGTTTTTCAATTACTATAGTATACTACATCATGCAACCACAACCAAGTCAAGATATTCATATTGAAACGGAAACGGAGATTGCAAGCGGCGGCACTAGTGATGGTGATGAACCGCAACAGAATCCCTGGCCACATTTAAGTGGATTTGTTGCGTATAAAGCAAGATTAAGGGATACATTGGTTTACGAGTGCAAACTGTGTTTGCCTAAAACATCTACAATCAAGGCTCACGTTTCAAGTTTGAACAACCTTAAACAGCATGTAAAGAGGATGCATCCAGTTAAATATATACAGTTTGAAGAAATAGTAAAGGCCGGGTCAACTCGTGGGAAAATAAAAAAGAGGCCAAACTCTTCAAATACAAGTACTATCGATTCTAATGCTGACAGCAGTGGCAGTCATTTTCTTTCACCACCATCAACAAAGAAAGTACGCCAGCAAAGCATTGGGGAATCGTTTGGCATTGTAGCTTCTGGAAGTGCGGTACCCCAAGCTAGTGTGAATCGGTGTATTGTAAACTTTTTTGTGACTAACATGATTCCACTACATGTAGTCGAATCTGATACATTTAATACACTTATTAAAACGTTGAACCCTAGCAAGAGTACGATCTCGAGAAGGACATTAGGCAGGCGTATCGCTGATTCTCACACTCTGTTAAAGCAGCGCTTGATCAAGTAAGTACTTCCATTGAAGGATTTGAGTGTACGAAATATTGCATAACTTTGTATATTTCAGAATACTTGATAAAATTGATTGGGTGGCTACAACGGCTGACTGCTGGTCTGCTCACAACAAAAGTTACTTGGGCATGACTGCCCATTGGTTAGATCCTGCTACCAGAGCGAGAATGCGTGCAGTGTTAACTTGCACCAGGTTAAAAGGTGTTCATTCATATGATGTACTCGCCCGGACAATGATAAATACACACTACGAGTTTCATATTGACAAAAAAGTAACCAGGTTAGTTGGAAACCTACTTATCATTGATATCTTTATTTATAATTAAATTTTAGAACTACCACCGATAATGGCAGCAATTTTGTTAAGGCATTTGTTCAATTTGGCTCTGAAATACCAGCCGATACACTATCGCTGAATTCGCTGCCACTATCAGACATCGACGACATCATACCATCACATGATATGGACTCTAATCTCGACAATCCCGTTAGTGCCCTCTTAGCAGAAACTGCAGAAGAACAGGAGTTAGAGTATATTTCACTCGAAAATGTACTTGTTATGTCTGAAAATAATAATTATAACGACAATGATGATGATGTTACACTTGAGAACTTCAATAATTTGCCAGTTCACATGAGATGTGCTGCTCACACATTTAACTTAGTGGCAAGCAAAGATGCAGACGCTGCACTACAAAATTCTGTTTTCAAAGGTCCGTACAGAATTGCCATGGCAAAATCACGCGCTCTTTGGAATTTGCAGTCGCGTAGTACGGTGGCGGCCGATTGCATTAATACTGAGTTGGGCAGGAGGCTGGTACTTCCAAATACAACAAGATGGAACTCAACGTTTGATGCTGTTGTTGTTCTCAACGCAATTTTAGAAGCAAAAAGACCTGCCCTTCATAGAGTGATGACTCAGCTGAAGGTTCGAACTTTCAATGATCAAGATGTGACCATATTGAAAGAGTATGTGAAGGTAATCAAATGAATATCTAGCATTAATATTAAATTAAATCAATCATTTTTAATTTATTTGATTTTATTTGATGGCAGGTCATGTCACCGGTGGCTCGAGCGCTAGATCAAGTTCAAGGAGAAGCTCAAGCATATCTCGGGTCTCTCCTTCCCACGGTTGCTGCAACAGTATTTAAATTGAAGGATATTCAGTCAAGCGGTCTTGTGTACTGTACTGCTTTGGCCAGTGCTTTATTAACCGGCATAGAAAAAAGGTTTGGCCCTCTTATGGAGGATGAGGAATGCCTGCTTGCAGCAGCCTTTCACCCAAGATTCCGGCTGATATGGCTAGAAAAATATGACAGTAGCAAGGTAACAGCAGTAACGAAGTGTATGGAGGTGAAAGTATTTGCTCAAATGCGCGAAAGCAACGAAAATGAGAAAGCTAGCATCAGTGGAAGTAGTAATAATGAGGAAGAAGAGGATGATTTCTTCACTACTGTTACTAAATCGGCTGAGAAATCGATGGGCCACAAATCTCTTAAAAGTAAAGCTCAGACTTTAGTGAAAACCTGGTTAGATGCGAAGTCGAAGGATTCTGTTACGGATGCTGCCTTCCTAGGAGAAGCAGTTTTAATAAATCTCTTTATTAAATATAATACAGCTATTCCCTCTAGTGCTGCAGTGGAACGTCTTTTTTCCACGGGTAAAGATATTTTGCGGGCTAAACGATCATCCCTCTCTGATGAAACTTTCAACATATTAATGTTCATGAAGGGGAACATCCACTTTATGCAAGATGAAGATTTTCTGGCGTAAGGTACATACATCGTACTTCGCTACCTTTTCTTCTTTCCTTAAGCTCCATCACAATTCTTCTTATGCAATAAACAAAAATGGCTGTACTTAAAATACAATAAATTTTATATTTCTCATTGTTTTTATTTTCTCTATCTAGCCTGCCCTACCTACGCTTAACGCTATGATACAATACACGTTTACACCTGAACCTAACCTATTTTTATTTATTAATTATTATTATTATATTATATTTTAATATTAATAAATACAAAATACTACATCTACGCTTAATATATCATTATATTTATAAATGAAATAATGTGTTGCGTTTTTGATTTACAATAGAATCCTCCATTAATTCACTGATGTAACCTCAAAATTTTTGACAGTTAACGGTTAACTGATTAACTTTAACTTCCGTTACATTTTCAAAAAACGAAAGCATTAACGATTAACGAAGTTAACTTTTTCATATAACGGATTAACGATTAACGAAGTTAACTTTTCGATTAACTGTGCCCAGCTCTGTCCACAGTCATTATAAAATTAACGTTTCAATGTAACTATTAATCTCTTTCTAGCAGCAGGCAAGCCTAAAACCGTACGTTGAACGCTACCTCAAAATACCAAAGGCTTCGTGGATCCTTTTATAATTCTGTTGCCTATGGTGCGTTCAAACTTGGGATACACGGTATTAGCAAAAATTGCAACTGATGTCCAAAACACTCCTAAATAGCATTTATCCACTTTGCATATTTATTGCTTTATCGTTATTGCTAACTTCACACGGGTACTTTCAGATCAATCTTACTATTTTTGAAAAAAAGAATTACCGGCTTCGTTTGTGCTCATTTGTGCTGAAATGATCGTTTTTGCTGTTCTCGTTCCGTAAAAAGCGACGACACCCCCATGCCTGTATTTTCGAAAAAAATTTAAATCGCTTGTACTCGTACTTTCTGCAATTATCGTCATTTGTGCTGCTCTCCTTCTCATGGAGTGGTGAACGGGGTCCAAGAAAGCAACCTCCGCCAATTCTTGCTAGTACCGAAAAAAATATTGTAACCGTTTGTGCTCATTTGTGCTACAATGGTCACCCCCTCCCTGAAAAAATATATTTGAATCCTTTGTTGTCATTTGTGCTGCAATTATTTTCGTTTCTGCCGCTCTTCTTCTCAGAGAAACGATGAGCAGGGCTTTCCTTGGTTGTGGATAACGGAACCAGTGCGACCCTCACCTTTCTTTAATTGGGGGGGGGGGGGCTAACTTAATGAAACTACGTAGTGGTACAAACAAACGGAAGTAGCCGTTGTGCGAGAATATTCTGATTTAGACGAAATGTTCTTTGTATGAAGCTCGAATCAAAGTTTGTTTTTGAAAATTTGAAAAAAAGCTACCGAAATGGTCTAAACTCAGGAGTTAATTGAATGATAGAATCTTTGGTAATTAATTGTCCGAGTAAGTAAAGAATTCTATTTCGCCAAGGTAAAATAGAATGTAAGCGTACCCTAATTAGTGTACAATATGGGATTAACCGCAAAGTAATTGCAAAACATTCACCCTGTACAGTGTACAGGGTGGTTCAAATTCGTGGCTCATCAAATTTACTTTGAATTTTGCAAGTATTAGCATTTGCTTATTTTTATTCATACGGGCCATTGAGATATCTGTAACGATGAGAGATACAGTGTAGGTTAAATGTGGGCAAAGTTACCCTTTTTTTTGTGACTAAAAAACATTTGAACTCTTTGGAAAATCTTTGAAAATAACTGAGATATGATCAAAAAAACTCAAAAATTTCGTTTTCACTTTCCCTAGCTTAAACGGTTGGAAATGGATGGTTCCCGTTACCACTTGCTATGCCCACTTTTTTGAGAGAATCTGGAGTTATCAGAATTTCTATAATACATCGTAAATAGAATAAGATAGAATTTAAAAAAAGAAAAATAATGACGTCACACTATTCTTTTACATAAATTTACAAGAAAAATCATTCAAATGAATTTATTTTTTTGTTCTTTATCTCAGTCCGTAAAAATCAAATATGGCGTCCATAAGCAATTTTAATTTTAATTTTATCCCTCTCTTGTTTTGGGCCCTCAACAATAAAGAAAGTAGTAGCCTGAAGATCACGAGCTTCTACATCTAGCGTGCTATGGAAATGTTGTTAACAGGTTCAGATTCTCCGAAAAAAGGTGCCCCTAGCAAGTGCTAATGGGAACCGTCCATTTCCGACCGTTTAAGCTTGGGAAAATTAAAACGAAATTGAACATTTACAGTTTTTCGATGATATGTACAAAGATTTTTGAAAAATTTCGTAACAAAAAGGGACAACTTTAATATACACTGTATCTCTCTTCGAGTACAAACCTATTTTGTGTAGATAATACGAGAACTAAAAATTCAGCAGTCCTTTCAGTTGCAAAATAGGCTTTTTGAGAGAAGGCTAATCTCTCGGATCTCGGATCATTTTTAAACAAAATTGGAGACGCGCGCAGTTCAAAACGTTTCTCTTAAATTACAATTAATTAAGCACTAAAAATTCCAGAAATTGTCATCATTCTTCTTATCGTAACCTTAATTCTTACAATGGAGTGGGCGACTTTTATCTATAAATTTAAATTTGGGCCATGGCAACACTTTTTCCTCACAAAATCAACCCGTGAAACTTTTTAGGTACGTGATTTGTAGATCACATACCCAAGGCCAAAAACCTAATGACAAGATTACTTAGCAATAATTTCGTTTTAGTTCCTTTACAGAGTAAATCTCCCCCAGCCGATACTAATTATAGCCATAGTTGTAAAACTGTAATTATCTCGTCTTCTCTAGAAACGTGCAAAGGTCAATAGGCAGGCGTCTGTCTTGAGCCGAGAAGGAACGTTCCCAAATGGATTAATTAGCTTCTACACGTTCCCCTATTTACCTACAAAGGAGTTTCAATGTCAAAGTAACGAAATCATTTCCGCCCGATTGAATTTAATATTATTTACAAAGAGACAAAAAAACTTAAAAAAAGTAATTGGTCGACTTCCTCCTATTGTTTAACGTGGAAGTATCAACATTAATTATATTCAATAAAGATCTAACGGCCTAATTGAGTGTGGAACAGATTTGTACCGGATGTGTCTTAATTCATCTTTTAGGGATGTTTCCGGTTTATTATTGTTAACCGACACCACTGCCAGATGTTTTTAAATGTATGCATTTGCTTTGTAAAAGGACGCGAAAATACCCTCCCGTCATATTGTAGTTTGTACTTGACCCCAATACTGCAATGCAGAAGCGAATTACGAAATTGTTTAGAAAACTATTAATAGAGCGTAAATAAAATTAAAAGTTGAGTGTCCATAGTGGAATTTATTTTTAAGTTGCTTGTTTATTGATATAGTGGTCATTTACTACGGCTCGTAAGCATTTTTGTAATTTTTCGGTATGATTTAAAGGTGAGTTATTTCCGGAATTTATTTACCAAGCGAATACTTGCGAGGGTTCAAATTCAAGGCCAATGGTTTAGGTCTTCCTGATTTAGATTGTTGGCATCTGTTTGTTCTGTAAGTCATTGAATGTCCAGAAACTTGGCACGTGAACCCTCTCTTTCATCCGTTCATACGACCGAAGGATTCGCGTGTGAATCGCTTTCCAATTTTAATATTTTTCTGTGGTAGTTCTTCCGATACTATTAGATGATAACGCCAAGATGAAAAATCTGGGGCCTTTGTGAACCATATACTGAAAACTGAAAATGTTGTCAGCGAGGTTTTCGGGAACACTGAATAGACCTTCAAAACAACGTTTTGTTTTAAAGAAACTTTTTATGTTATCCAAAATTATAAAAAGTTTGCTACTAATCTACGTACTTTGTGGACAGTAGCGTACTTCCGCATGGTGAAGGAGAGAGCGTACTTTTTAATGACAGCCACTAGTGTTCATTACATATTCTTAAAGGGTACACTTTGTTGGATATAGCAGCATGAAAAAACTTTACATTACTTACATAATCAAATTTAAGAGAAAAACTCAAAATTAAGAAAAACAGTTGTGTTAATTATTTTAATAATTTCACTAGTTTACGTTGAAGAAAAACGATAAGTATGCATTTGTTAGTCATGTAAAAGCAATTTATTGTATCAAAGATCATTAAAAAATTTAAGTGAATTTGCATGCTTAAAGATCATTTACAGTGGCGTGCGTCTACCGAGGCGTCTACATAACTACGTGGGTCAGTTTTTTTTTAAAATGTGAGGTATTATTAAAGAATGAACTTTTTTTAAAACATGGCAACATAAAATACATGATCAAACTAGCAAAATTAATTCACGAACTGTTTTGCTCCGTTTTTCTCTTAAATTATTTGATTGTGTAGTACAATAAGTTATTTATGCTGCTATGTCCAAAAAAGGGTACTCTTTAAGAATATGTAATGAAAACTAGTGGTGGCTATTATTCTCTCTTGTAACATGGAGACGGAATTAAAAAAATTTCGATCATTGTAATTGCAGTTGAGACAATCAAAGAAAATTAGGGCCCTGTGTAGGAGAGCATCATTTTTAGCACATTTTCCAACTCGTGTTTGAAGGGGCTTATAGCTCTGACATCTGAACCAAGAAAAATCTCGAAGATCATAGATTTATATTATTCTACCATGGATTTATAGAGCCTCTTCTTACGAGGCGTTTTTGAAGCGCTGCAGAGAGGCGCCGCTGGTGGCGCGTCTTGTAGCGGGGTTCGGCTAAAAAACGCGCGCGGTTGGTGGTAGTGCGACCCCTGCGCGATTTTAATATGGCGTCGAGTTTGAAGAGAGTATTCATCTCGATGAACTGGAAGTTACAATTTTTTATTTCAGTTTACCAGTGCCACCTGCCGGCGAAACACGTCACACGCCACTTGGTAACGTTGATGTGATGAGCGACGCAGTAACGCTGCAAAGACGCATCGCGTATCCCGCTACTCTTCTGCGTCACTCTGCATCGCTTCAATAACCATTATTGAAATATTTTTTGAAATGTTAAAACCATAGATTCTTCTAGTAAAGAAACACATAGGTCACATAGCTAGAGCATTTTGGGAAGTAGGTACTTACTGATCAAAAATGAAAATGCGCTACTCGCCTTAAAAGCTTTTTACTTGTTTATAATCGTTATTGTCGTTGTTGGTCTAAGGTAGAATTTATATCAAGGAAATATTACTCCTTTTTTAGAAATCTATTTTTCTTTTTTTTATGCATTCGACTTTTTTTATTGAAATGGAAGACGCAGCTTCCAAGACCGAATTTTAATTGAACAGAGCTTGATCAATACTTGGAAAATCTAACTTGTAGAGGAACTGGTGGAGATATCGTTCAGAGTCAAGCCAATAGCATTTTTAGAAGTTTGCAAGAAGGCGAGGTCAATCATGTAGTCTTTCATTAGTGCTTTGTAATGTTTGATCTTAAATTCCCGTGTAGGGGCGGGTGGAAGAATACCCCTACCGCAGAGGCACTACGCGTCGTAAAAGGCGACTAATCAACGCGGCGAGTTTCCAATTTTGCACATTGATGCTCGAGAGGGGGGGGGGGGGATTTTGAATAGATACATAGAACTTTTCACTCGTTTTTATTATTTCCCAATTTTTTGGTACTTCGTTAACCACATTGCTTTGTCCCTTTTGTGTATACAGGGATGCTATAGGTTTTACTAATTTTTTTTTATTTTTGCACATACCTAAAGGTTTTGCAATTATTTGAGTTTCTCTGAAATTTCTTTCCCTTTACAAGCAAATTGTCCTTTTGAATGCAAACGAACCAGGCCCATTATTTTCGAATTTCTCTCAATAAAACTTTGCCCTTACGTACTACGAGTACAACGGTTCCAATTTTGAAAATTAAAAAACCTTATTTTCAGGTTTGCCAACTTTGATGGATTCTACACGGAAACATAAGGCCAGTTTGTAATGGCACCTCTATGTCGAAAATGATTGTTTTTTGTAGAAAAGAATGATCATTTTTGGTCGGTTCTAATTAACGGACACACGAAAAAAAGCTACTGTGTCATAAAAACCAAATAAATTTGAAATTTTAAAAATCATCTTACAAGTGTGCTTCAAATTTCTTTAGAGATTTCTTTTCCGAACAGCCGTATAAAATGAATTTCTTTAAATTTCTAATCAAACATTTTTTGATTCTGCCGTCCATAATTGCAACCTAAAATTATTTCTAATACAGTCTTCAATGGCACGTATTAAAAAGGCCATCAATTGCAGTGGCATTTTTAAAAACTTATTTCCTATTCGTGATTTTCACGTTCAAAAACCACCAGCTACCAAATTTCGTCGAAATCAGAAATATTTCTCTCACCTCCATTTAAGGGTGCGCTCTTTCAAAAAAATGTTTGCAAAATCGGAAAGGGCATACCGCAAAACCTCTTGAAAACCACAAGTGGACGCCGAAAATAAATTATAGAAGAAATGCAAATGTTTTGATCCCTTCTTCCACCCATTCTTTATCTACATACTTATATGTAACACTCTGTATACTATTATTTCGTTCGAAAAAAGAATCTAGCAGATTTGAGGATATGGAAAACATCATATGTGTGCGATGGAAAAACAAGTACTTTTGCTCGTTGTCTTTTCTTAATTAACTGTTCGGTTTTATAAAATATCAAGAAAATCCAGAACATTCATAATTGCTAAAATAAGTTCAACTTCTAGAATTTTCCACCTACCCACATGTGCAAGCTGAAAATGTTTTCTAGACTTCAACGCACTTCATTAGTAGGTATAAAAAAAGTTGAGTGTATTTTCTTGAAGAACTCCAAAAACCACTCCAAAATTCGAAAAATTATGAATATTTTGAATATTTACAATTCATTTTCAGTTTTTTGCGTAATGCTTGCAATGTGATAGCATCTAATGCGAAACAATCTTCTGAAAAAGATTTGTTTTAAAATCTCTTGATGAAGGTGTAATCGATTGTGTGTTTAAGAAGTTCTTAAAATTTCTGCTTAGATTCCTTACCTGACGAAATCAAGCCGACTTTCAACGTCCAGGCAATTTTCGTATTTCCTCTTTTACATTATCCTTACTATTGTTGCGCGTTCATCATGGAATGAGAAAATCTATTAAGACCTTTCTTTAACATGCAATATGCATATTTGTACTAACTGAGAACTAAAAAAAAGTGAATTTAGCCTATTTGTGGTCGTTGAAAGAAACTGATCGATGGCAATGCACGATGAAATGGTAGGGGTTGCATTTCGATTATCGTTAAGGGTAGTATTCGAGGCAGAAGAATAATTAGATGCGAAATTATTGTTCAAATGTGTGGTAATTTAATGCTTTCATGCTTATAATTCAATAATGAATTCCGTTATTAGTTAAACTCCACAATGATAGTTGTAGAGCTTATTGCAGTTGCTTCGAACTCACGCAGCTAGAATTTACCTTTGCCAAAGTTTACTACTGCAATTAGGTGTCAAAACTGAAAGGAGCCATCCAATGATTGGCGCCATCAAATAATGACTTCCAATCGTGAGAATATGATTTTTGTCTCATCCTCCGCAATTGCCCAATTCTGCTACGTGGTGAGAACGATAAGTCTCATGGTACAAGCGACTCTATTAATTATCGTGATGAAGACAAAGAGCACGTTACGTAAGAGAACACGTTCATTCACCTCTGAAATAGTCTATTTGTTAAACAAAAGTACATGAGTAATTTACTTCGGTGTGCTTGCTGCTGCAGGTACTATACGGTTTTATCCCTTTCATATCCTCGTCGGTTACCATTTTCAGTCAAACAATGTACCGTCTTGTGTACGCATTTAATCGAAACATATCGCGTGTCATTGGCTTTAAGCCGTAATCAATTTGTTTGTGTCGTGATTCTTATGTAAATTACTACAGTTCCAGGCAAAGCTCATTTGTTTTGTTTTTCTTTTCAGGTGAGTGCCGTTGTAAGTTACTTGATTAGTAGGTGAAATTGTCGGTAAGTCTGGCTTTTTCTATTGTAACATTAATCAATCGTGGGAAAGTTGCTAGATCAATGAAGATTGATCGTCAAGCTTGAGTTCAGTCATATTTACATACAGGCGTGTGTAAATAACTTTAGTTTGCACACACTATAATTCCACATAGGAACCCTTACATTACATGATCTTTTTTCACTCTGGTATTTTGAACATGACCCGGATAACGTAGTTAGGGGTGGCAATTTTTTTTTTGGAAATAGATCTCTTGATATCCAAATGTTACACTTGTACGTAATCGCAGACGTTACAGTAAGGGTTGACATGCGTAGATTTAGTATGAATCACACTATTTGATATATAATCTCCAAACACCCTTAAATAGGATTTGCCCAACAAAATGCATATTTATGAGTTATGACTGTATCGTTTCTCATGAAAAATCGTGAAAAATGCAGTAGTGTGACAAATTTTTTTGCAATTCGTTCAATAATTTAGCTAATGCTACCCTCTTTCAAAGAAATCCCAATGCAGTTCAAAAAATTCACCCGCATCAAATACTCTTACTTCTATAACTCCTCTACATTCGTGATCAAATACTGTATGTACTACTAAATTACACGTGATCACCACAGTATAGGAGAGTTAGAGTCAAGTTTTCGTCACCATACAAAATATTTCAATACGTAAAAAACCAATTATTTCAGGGGATAATTTTTCTAGGGACAAAATTCTATTAAGGTTCAAAGTTACTTGCTGCAAGTTTCCTCGCAAGTTTCCCTAGGAGCAAATTCTTCTTGGGAGATCCTTCTCAAAGTGCAAATGAATCTGACAAGAGTTTTTTTTTAATGAATACATACATGGTGTCTCAACGAAAATTTGTACTACGACAAGGAATTATCGCCGAATGTTGGAGAATAATTTTTGAGGTCTTGAAAAAGTTAAGATGTGGCTTGGGTTTAAATCAAGATACAATCGTAGATAGTGGATGTCCTTTCCAGCAATTAGTTTAAACCTTTTTGGGCTTTTATTAATTCAAATATTGTGCCCCTCGCTCTTTTTAAAAATTTGTGGGAGTGCAGCAAGATTGCGATTGCAAGAATGGGTTTTAACCATGGTCATTGGGCGTGACTTTCTGATCGGGTCGAATTTTTCGTGAGAGAATTTTTTGAAGGTACGAATTCACCTGTAGCGAATTTTCTTATGCGCATGTTCTCTTTAGATCAGGTCTTGTTCAAGCGAATTTTTGGATCTGAATTTTCTTAGGTGCCACTTTTCTGATTACGGCTACGAATTCTCTTAAAATTTACTTGAAGCGAGTTTGTTTATAAACTTTTTAAACGAGTTCCTGTAAGTGAATTTTTTCGATCTAAATTCTTTAGATGTCACTTTTTTGATTACGATTACTTCGGACCAAAATTCACATGGTGTGAGGCTTTCATAACCTAAGAGGCGTTCTCATGACGAATTTACGTTCCGCATTTCTCATGAGCATATATCCTTTTTCAGAGAGTCCATTTTTTTTGTTCCACATTTTCCTGGGAGCCACTTTTCTGAGTGTTACCTCGAGGGATGTTCCTTTAGAAAACTTGCTCAAAGTAAGGCTAGGTTCCGCTGTGAATTTTTGTCACAACTACTTTGGGGGATTATTTTACTCCACAAAAAATTTTTTAAGGGTTGATTCTACCTAGGGACTAGTTGCGTGAATACTACTTTGAGGGCAAATGGTGCTTCTCAAGATAAGAATTCACGTGGAAGTTCTCTTTAGAATGAGTTCTTCTAGGCGTATTTTCCGATATACATTTTGTTGAGTGACTTCTGATTATGACTATTTTAGTGTCGAATTTTCTCAAGGTACAGTTGTGGTCAGAAGTCATGTCTTCACTCAGATATCTCAACTGTAGAAAAAGTCCTACTTTATTTATTGATTTATGATCTTTATTTTTAAGTGGGCGGGGTTAGGCTGCTCTACCGACTCAACCCACCCAACTTACAAGCATCCATGTCCGAAACCGGATTCGAAACAGGGGTCCTTAGCACCGCAGTAGAGCTTCCACACCACTGCACCACACAGACCGGCTAATATGTCAGTTCCTCCGTGGTTTAGTTCATTTCAACCTTAGATTTTTTCCTCATTTTGAAAAGAAGCTCAAAACTCAAAGGAGATGTGGTAAATAAATTGTGTGCTACACTTAGAATAATAGAGGGACATTACTTCTGACCAAAACCTTGAGCAGTTCATAACTTTAAGACGAGTTGTACACGAATGTTTCGCGGTGAATTTATTGCGGATTATTTTTCTGATACAGCTACTTCAGGGGTAAATTTTGGAAAATTTTCTCAAGGTACGAATTCACCTGGAGCGAGTTCTTATGAGTACTCACTTATAAAATTCCTTTTAATCTGTATATGGGAGCTACTTTTGGAATTAAAAAAACGCTTCGGAAGCGAATTTTCTGTGAGAGATAATTTTTCTAAGGTAAGAATTTACCTCGGAATTTACCTTGAAGTTTCTTAGGTACATATCCCCCTGGGAGAGGATCTAATGACGAATTACCGCTCGACATTTTCACCTGTAGCAAGTTTTGTTAGGAGAACCGAATTTGCTAACTGACCTTTCTTTCTTTTTAAATCCTTCAGATAAACTGTTTTTACCGGACGAAATTTCTGCTACAAATTTTCTTGGGGGTCACCTTTCTAATTAAAACTATTTCGAGGCGATTTTCCTTGAAAAAAATTACCTCAAGGTACGAGTTCAACTGGAGCGAGTTTTTTATCAGCATATTATGTTCTTGAAACGAGTTCCTGTAAGCGAATTTTGTTTGATTTAGATGAATCCATCTGAGGAATATTTTGCCGTGTACTACTTTTGGGGCAAATTTACGTATTAGTACGTATACCGTAAATTTAACTACGTAATTTGTTTATTTACAATAACTTTATAATATTCTTGAAATAGATTAGGTAATTTCGAGGGTAATTTATAACATAATACGAGCGGGAGCTTAATAATAATTGACTTCCCATCGATGTGAGAACTGACTCGATTTGCTTATATAGAAAACGTCGGTCTTCCTTGGAAGTTCTCGAAATCTCGAATTATACAGTGCGTTTGAGGTAAGAGGGTCACCTCAATATCGCTTTTATTTGGCGAAATACGAAAAAATTTTTTAATATAGTTTTATATGTGACATTACGATCTGATTGATCGAATATTCCAACTTCCGGTATCACTTCCGGTCTAACAGGACATCGATGAATCTTTTGTTTTCCAAGTGCAATGCCTATGCTTTTTGCGGTATTTGAAAAGAATAATCAATTTGCTGTACGCAAACATAAAATAAGCATATGGTTGATATACAAAAAAAAATTCAAAAAATTCGTTATTCAATATTTAGAAAATTGATGAAATGTATGCTGTCAGTATGCACGGAGACTGTTACATAACACGAGGAGATCCTATCGTGCAAAAATAAATCTTCAAAACGGAACATTGAACAAGATATTGTAGGTCTTTTCTGTGTGATATGGCACACGGCATACTAGATTTCATAAATTTTATAAATATTGAATGACGAATTTCTCCATTTTTTTGTATATCAACCATATGCATATGTTATGTTGTCGTACATAAAATTGATTGCTCTTTTCAAATATCGTAAAAAACATAGGCATTGTATTTGAAAAACAAAAGTTGAATAGATTTTCGGTTAAAATGATACCGAAAGTTTGAACATGCGATAATACAAAACTCTATTTGACAATTTTTCGTATATCGCTAAATAAAAGAGGTATTGAGGTGACCCATTATCTGAAACGTACTGTATATAGAATTCTTCTGTACGTATGTTTGTGACTGAACTCCTAAACGACTTAACGGATTTTCATGAAATTTTTTGTATGTGTCTCTGTGTGTCTTCGGATGGTTTATATTCACAATTGGGCCGGATTGGATTATAGGATTTTTTCGTTGATGTCGCACTCTGCTATTTCGCACAAGAGACAAGAGTGCAAAAAATTGACGTTAAGATACACAGGGTGTTGCATTTCAAAATACCAACTTTGGGTTTGGGTCAAATCTCAGAAACGGTGCTCTAAAATTGGTTACTACGCCACCACAAATCTCTATCTCATTGAAAAAACTAAAAATCCACCGCATTCCTCCATAGTTCCTGTACCTATTCTCTCAAATTCTCTTGCAAAACTGCCGAAATCCGACTAGCAGTGAATTGTAGTATTTTTCGGAATTGCAAGCCGCTTTTGCCTCATAGAAACCGCGCAAGTTGAAAAGTTTTGTGTGATTAAGAGTGATCTAGTCTGATATTTGTCAAGGACTAAAGGGGACTACTTTTAGGAATGATAATTTTTTGTAGTGTATCAAGTCGTCTGGATCTAAATTGTCCTAAATTCTTTCGGCAAACATTCCAGTGTATTGGAATTGAAAATTTGAAGAACCTAACGCTGGACGCAATAGGTATGCAATTCGTACCTACATATCCAGGAATCATCCCCCTTTTTTCACCAAAATCAGTGAATGCATTGTTGCAAGCAATTACCTAGATTTGGGGTTGTATGTTCACAGAGCATAAGTTTCCGGGTTGAGATCAGTAGGTACATTTTTCATGGCAAACATTTGGCACACGCACGCAACGATACATTAAACTTTAAAAGTCCAATAACGGCGTGTAATCAGTTTGATTAGATTCTTTATCGCGCCTGTTACTGAATAATTAAACCACCATATAATTTTCATACACTTTCAAGGGTTACTATTTCCCTCGGGGCTCAATTTGTATTAAAACTACAAACGCATCCATCTTCATTACCGGGATTTTGTTGAACAAATCTAGAATTAGATGTATGGGGGGTGACTAAAGTTCAACTCGTGGGTTTTATTCGAAAAGTAAAACGAAATTAGAATTTCTATTTGGAAATTTTGTAAATCTTTCCGTATCTGAGCGGAGTTGGGCAACTGAAGGGAAAGCGCG